CACCGAGGGGTGGGGTCAATGCTATGTGAAGCAACGGTTAGAATTTTTTTTTTCTAGTGACTTATGAATTTTAAAATTGTATTGTGGTGATGGCTGCCCAATGCTGCAGATAGATCTCTTGGAAGACAGCAACACCGAACCGTGAGCTTTAAATGAATGGTCAAATGAATACAGTATATGAACTGTATCCCCAAAAGCTACCTCTTAAGTAAAATTAAGCAAGCTGTTTTTCTTCCATAGAAAGAATCCCTTCCCAGAGCTCAAGCTCCCCTCCCCTGCAGGCCCATCCCAGGACCTAAGGAGGTTGTAGGTTATACAGCAGAGGATGCCAGCTTAGGCAGGGACCAGGCGGCCAGTGCAGAATGTTGGAGACATTCGCTATGGGGAGCTGTACGTACAGGGCCAGCTCCTGCAGGGCCCGAAGCCTCCCTGCACCCTGCTGGCCACACTCCCAACCCAGCCTTCCTTTTCAGATTGTTTCATTCTTGCACAAGTCCACAAATTTTATCCCCCTGAAAACATTTTAAACTTCTTGCCACTGTTTTAAATACTTCATCGCCACTAGAACCTACAGAGTAAAGTTTAATGGTAGACATTAAGCTGGATATATAAAAACACATCTGTAATTCAGTCCTTACAAGATTGTGAGTTCAAAGCCAGCCTTAGCTGCACAGAGTTCAAGGCCAGTATGGCCTTTATGAGACCCCTCCCCTCAAAAAAAATGAGGACAGACCAAAACCTTATATTTTGGGGGCACACAGCATGCTCGGAGCAGCCATGTGACTCTATGGAGGAACTCCCTGCCAGCTGGGTAGACACCCAGGCCACTCGGTTCCTGCAGCATACAACCTTCAGCTCCACTCTGTGAGTCTTGCTACCAAGCAAAAGTTGTCAGGGTGACGATGTTTTAACATCACCCCATACAAAGGGGAAGGACTAGCCGTTTAAATTCTAGAGGCACACCAGGAAAAGCCATCAGTGCAGGCTTAGCAGTGGTGACAGACACATGAGCAGCCAGCCAAGGCTAGTCACTGTGGCTTCCCTGACTTCTGAAGTGACATGCCCAGAAGCACAGAACACCACACACACACACACACACACACACTTGGATCCCTGGCCTGAAAGGCTTCATCTCAAAAACTGGTCTTTATTCACCAAAGAAAAGCAAAGTTCAATGAAAGCAAACAAAAACAACCTTGCCAGGGTGGTGGCACATGCTTGCAACCCCAGTATCTGGGAGGCTAAGGACTACACAGCAAAACCCATCTCAAAATAGAGTAATTAAAAAGAAAAACATCACATCTGTCCACTGGACACAATCAGCTTCTTCCTTGTTTTGCCCTCGCCACGAAATCCTTTAGAAAGAGAGAGACTTGACTTCACAACTCCCTGTTCAAGTAAGTTGCAAGAGAGCAGGAAACACAACTATCTTAACTCACAGACAAAACAGTCCTGGGGAAGGAAGCAAGTTCCTTCTTGGGAAAGGGTGCTAGAGCCATCACGACAGGGGAGAAACACTGCCACCAAGTGGCAGCAGCGTCTTCAGACGCCCCTGAGGTTGCTTGGTCTGAATAGCAGCAGCACTCAGAATCCTCGGGAGCTTCCAGAGGAAAAAGAGCCCGCGTCAAATCCCAATGTTGGAGGACAGGTCTAGCTTGGGTACCTAAAATCTTTCCAGAAGACTAGGGATATGGCTCAGGTAGTAGAGTCCTTGCCTTGCATGCAGCAGCCCTTGGTCCAGTCCGCAGCACTACATCAAAAGAAAACAAAAACCAAAAACGACAAGATACCACCCACTACCGCCACCAACAAAAGCAGGCATGGGGCCCACCCATGGAATCATAGCGCTCAGGGTTCAAGGCCAGCATCAGCTACACAGTGAGTATTAAGATCAGCCTGGGATGCTGGGGATCCAGTTTCAACAACCAAGTCCCCAGATGGCAGTGGTGTTCAATGAAAGCCAAGACCCCTCACCAAGAGGAAATGGCTGCATAGACTGAGTATGGTGTTCATGCTGTTCCACTTACATCGTCCACTGAAATCTCCACAAGGTACACGCACACCTGAAGACAAATCAGTCACAACCCACTTCCTACCCTTTTCTCAGTAACACAGAAGTCACACTGAAAACCGCGTACTTTAGGTTGGCCCTGTTTACATCCCAGTTCACGTGTTATCTAGAGTTCTTCATGCTGTAAGTGGGACAGGCTGACCAACTGTATTCACAAGACAAAAAAAAAAAAAAACTTTCAACATTGGCTTCATACTCACACAATGGGTTCATGTCAATAAATCATTCTTATTTGTGCCAGAATGTGTTTCCTTCTTTTCAAGACTTGTCACAGTCTGAAGGCATCTATTGTTGGTGAAATGCGCACTGTGATATGAAATGCTCAGATGAGAAGAACTAGACCAAGACTAAAGCTGTTCTCTGGCACAGACAGAACAAAAGGAGTCTCTCCCATTCCAAGTGGAGAGCTGCCTAGAAATTGTTCCATAATGACAAAGAGTTCTCTTTCGTATTGTATACTGAGAAAAGAAACTGGAGAGCACGAGCCAGCGAGTATCTAGTTAAACACTGATTCCACAATTAGGTGAGAGCCTTTGGCAGAGCAAACAACTGGCTGGGCTGTAGACACTGCGTCCGCGAGCGTCCACGGAGCAAGGCTGCCTGTGCAGAGGACAAGGGCAGGCAGCTGCTCCCCGGTACAGCAGCGTGCTCTGGATTTACTCCCATCCCTTATCACCGTGCTTCCCCACCACGCCCCGCTTGTCCACGCACCAACTCTTCTCGTAAAAGGCTGAGTAGTGGACCACTTGTCCAGCAGGCACAGGGCCCTGTGTCCAATTCCTGCCACCACAAAGAAAACAAGAAAGACACAGAGAACCGAGATTCCTGGAGGCTCTGGGAACCAGGAGACCCGAGTCTACCCGTAGAAGCCCAGAGCAGCCTCACAGATGGGAGACCCAGTCATATGCATGTGGCTGCTTACTCTAAGCCCTTACTGCTCAAAATGGGCTGTCCACATCAACACCAGTGCAGAGCAGAGGTGCTCAGGATGTAACTGGACCCACACATCACAATCCACCTTTTGACAGGATTGCCAAAGGACCCTGATCCCATTAAAGCCTGTGTAATACTGTTCTGATCCATGATTGGACAAAGCCACTTAACTGACAGGTGTGTGCATAATTTTGCCCAGGGACAACAGCACCGTCGTCCCTTTGTCTATGATAGGGACAACAGTGAGGCTCTGAAAAGGAGAGGCTAATTCGAAGGTAGAGAGCATCTCTCTCCTCTACTCAGAGGAGCCAGTGTCTGCCTTCAGCCATGCCTTCAGACGCATTCCTGAACACACCCAACCTACCAGAGCTTTGCCATGATTTACTAGCACTCTCGTGATACCATCCTGGAAGGAGTAAAATACTTTACCAAGTATGGTCCTTTCACACACTCAGTGATGCAAATCCTCCACCCAGAGAACTCTCTACACAAGGACAGCGAACATGTTCTCCTGGGTTTCAGAGGCAACAATAGTAAGTGGTACCACCATATGGGAAATCGTGAAGGCACGGCCTCTCTATTTAAGCCACCAAGCAGCTTTTAGCATCTCATTTCCCTATCTATGGTAGTTTCATTGTGGACACACCTGACTGGCCAGCTGGGTAAATCGTGATGGTTTGCTTGCATGAGGCAAGTGATGCACATCTGACCTACCATCCGAGATGCAGGGATCAATGCTCTATAGGCTCAGAAGTAGAGCTAGCCCTCTCAGACTCTGCTAACTTAAACCTGTCAGTCTCATAAAACTCCAAGTACTCACTGCTGAACTAGGGAGGGAGGTGGGCATGCTAGGGTATAGCTCAGTGGTACAGTACCTGCCCTGATGTACAAGAGCCTGGGTTCTATCCGTAGCATTGGGTGTGTGTGTGAGGTGGGGAGAGACATATTTGAGTATGTTTCCCGAGTTTTATTAGACAGTGAGATTGTAAGTACAGTTTAACTGCCTTTTTTCAGATAGACTCGTGAGACTTAGTTCACGGGGCTTAGACACTGAAGCTGACGTGCTGGGCTAGATGGTGTCTGTCTGTCCAGCCTAACTCCTTCACCACTGCCTCACTGTTCACTTTGCATTCCCCTTCTTCTTCTGTATGTTGTCCTTCGTCACTGACAGCCTTTTCTTCAGGTTTGGCTCAGACATGAGAATCAGAACCCCTAATTTACAGGCCACACCCCTGCTCTTGCAAGTAGTGCCATTATTGAGCAGCAATCACCACACCTTTAAAATGACCACTGGCTCGTCATTTTAAATGTTCTTCCAATGAAAGGCGTTGAGTGCCAGTATCCCTGCCCCTACCTTCCTCTTTAACCTAAGGAAACGGTAAGGGCTCTCTGATGAGCTCAGGACTAGACTGCTGGAGTCTAAAAGCAGAATGGGCAGTCACCTGAGCACTGAGTTTCTACAAGGGGCCACCAGGGTTGTCTCCTACCAGCAATTCAATGATTTTCTTTCGAATATCATGAATTTTAAATAGCTGCCAGGAGTGATGGGGCACACCTTTAATCCCAGCTCTTGGGGAGCAGAAACAGGTGGATCTCAGAGTTCAAGGCCAGCCTGGTCTACACAGAGTCAGGCCAGCCAGGGCCACAGAGTGAAACCCTGTCTTGACGTCTCCCCAACCACAACAACATGCATCTAACTGGCATTATGCTCCCTGTCTAGGTGTGGCAGAGTCATGATCCTAGGTTCCTGGTGAGAACGTCAGACAGCTTGTCCAGCCTGAGGTCCTCTGCGGGGAGGTCTGGAGTCTGAATAAGGACTCCAGCACCTGCTTCATCCCCACACGGTTGTGCAACTGCTCCTACAGGACCCCTATGTCCTTCCCTAACTTCATCTCAGAGACACTAGCCAAGTGAGCCACTCTCTACGTTCCTCCCATTACCAGGGCATCTGGGGCCTCTGTGATGCTCGCTGATTCCTCAGAGATGATGGCCTTACCTTCATATCTGCTTGGGGAGTCACATGCCTTCTGTGGAGTGGCCACTCGAAGAAATATCTGCTGTCTCCAGGAATGCCGCCGGGTCTTCACAGGGGTCCCGTCTGTGTCACCCAGGTGGTTTGTTTTGGATTCAAAGTCCCTAAAATGGCAAGATGACCTATTCATGAGTGGCCGGGAGGCATCAGCTAACTTTACCTCTTTCCATAAACAGGTAACTTGAGAACCACAGAAGATGAATCAAAGTCCCAGTGGTCGGTATTTTTAAAGGACACTGTGCAAAAAGAACGACATGACATGCCCTGAACCGGCACTCATAAAAGCTAGTCTAAGGACTATTCTCCAAGAATTGTAGCTCCCAATTGTGCCTTTCTGGGTTCTTCTTCAAATGAGAAAAACATGCCAGCTGGAGCGCCATCACCAGAGCCCCAGCCCACCCTAGTTAACATGTGAGTTTACTTCTCTCAGAACCAGACTAAATCTCCACGATTGCCACAAATCACACCCTCTATACACATGCGCGTGTACACACACACACACACACACACACACACACACACACACACACACACACACACACACACACCAAAACGGAATATCAGCTGTAGTCTAATTAGAGAGAACCACCAAGGAATTAATGATACTATCCCTGATGATACTGTCCGCTCTAAAACCTGCAGCTTTACAACTACGAAACGAAGTATAATTGCTGGTATATAAACATCATCTTATTAGTTTTCTTTCCATTCACAGTTTGGGCAGGCCTTTACAGCACCGTGAGGTACTTAGCACGCCTGCAGACGGTTCGCTGGCTTCTGGAGGGCAGGCACAGCTACTGTCCTTCAACAGCCCTGCGGAACCAGGAAAGGCCCTTTGTTCTTCTGAAGGCACCAATGCCATGCAAAACCGGAGAGTAAGCTGACTCGCGCTTTAAAAACCGCACGTGTGGGCAAACAGCAGAAGAGAAGTGACCCAGCAGACTTAGCTACCGCGTCCCAAAAGGCGAAAGACAGTGCAAATGCCCCGTTATCACACAGTAGTAACTCAGCACTCAGCCAGATTGCATGGGTTTAAATCAAGCCCTACCTGTTGCTGCTGTTCATAAAGTCACAGGTGTGATTTTCATCTACAGGAGCCAGAAATTTTAGGAAATTTGGCACAGAGGAGGAAGAATGGAGTTTTTTCCGCAGGGCATTACGGTAGGAAACACTAAGAGTTTCGTTAAAAAAAGAGTTTAGGATGAAGAAATACAAATACACAAAGAAAAAATTCTAATCTTAAAAAGGAACCCTTTTAACTGCAATGCTAGACATCAAAATCCTTTGTGAGTGAAACTTGCATTTTCAGTCCATGCATTACATTAGAAACAAAACAAAACAAAACAATCAGCCTATCCCCCAATGACAAGAACGTATCTAAATCAATCAGAGTTTCTGACATGGTGCAAAGTACAGTGTCTACAAACACAGCTGTTAGCCTGTGCACATGCATGTGTGTGCTCCCATAAAGGTGGAATGACGTGACAGTGAAGTGTAAAAACAGAAAAACAGTTCACCACTGAGACTTTTCCAAGTAGAGGAAAAAATAAAAAAAAAGTATTCAAATGACACGGTAAAGCCCAATAAAACCAAAAAGCACCCCCGCCCTCCATACAAGCAGTGACTGGGGCTCCGCACAAGGACAGCCCCCACGCGGCGGGCTGACTGTGAACTGCCCGGCAGACAGACAACACTGGCCATGCGAGTGTGCTCACCTTTTTGGCACCGCATTCCCACTTTGTTCTCCACTGGAACTGTGTTTTAGGTACTTAAAAAAGTTGGGTGAGGAGGCGGAGGGGTTAAGACGAGGCGGAGGAGGAGCGGAAGGCTGCCCTGAGCAGCTCTTAGACTCACCCCCAGGAAGACGGTCCACACTAAACAGCAATCACAGAAAGTGGGGTTAGAGGGGACAGACTGCAAGAGGAGGAGGACAGAAATGGGGAGGAAGCACGGCCTGGCCGAGTATCTATGGGACTGGCCGAGTATCTATGGGACCAGCTCGCTGCTCTCACAGGCAAACACCGCCAGGCCCTTGATTACTTCTACACTTCCAGTAATACTTTCCGCTCCGTTTCCCTGCTGGGAACTGACAAATTTCAGAAGTAAAGCAAAAGAAAATAACCCAAAATTTAGAAGCCACTTTTCCCCTTTAGGACATCTTGCCCTGGATTTCAAAATCCTGTTTCCTATAGACTGAGGAGGAAAGTCACAAGAAAAGAGAGAGCAAAATCAATACGGACAAGGTGGCCATCTCCCCATCCCTCCCACGGCAGGTCCATCACAGCCCATGATACAGCTCCTGGGGAGAGAGAAAGTGGTGGCACTTAGATCTTCCACCCAGAAACTGGCATAGAGCTTGGGCTTTTCAGGGAGGACTGTTTCCTCCGCCAAACATGTGGAGGGGTGGGGTGGTGGCTTAAGAGGCCACACAGCCATGACACACAGCAGTGTGATCACAGTATACTGGAAAGCAGGGAGCATGTCAGGCCACAGCTAAGCCACACTTGTGTTGGAACCCTCACACTTGCTAAACATCTCCTGCAGGGTCTTCTCCTGCCATCCATCAGTCACCCAGCTCAATTCCAAAGAACCAATGATGAGTCCCAGCCAGTGGATTAGGGAGCCAAGCTGACAGCTCTGTACGTGGCAGGTGTCACCTGTCTTCCCTCTGCACAGAACAGACCCCAACCACTGCGCTGGCCCAAACAGCTGTACCTGGTATAAGCCACACGGGCACACATGTCCCCAACTTCTGCTGTCAGCAGCTAGGGAGAGGCAGCCACCATACACAGGAATGTCCCCATTTTAAAACGTATCTTAAAGTATCATTTGGGGTCCCGCTACAGTCTCTGGTACTTGGGCTTAGTCACTAATAATAGACCCAGAAACACACAGGGACAGCTTCTGCTACCACACTGATTGTGTTTCTCTGTGGCCAGAAGAGCTTAACTGTTTATTTGAGCCCAATTCTTAAAAGGAGTGTGCTGGCTAGTTTTATGTCAACTTGACATACACTAGGGTCATCGGAGAGCAGGGGGCCTAAATTGAGAAAACGCCTCTGTAAGACTGGGCTGTAGGCAAACCTGGAGGACGTTTTCTTAGTGGCTGATGGAGGAGGGCCCAGACCACTGTCGGTGGTGCCAACCCTGGGCTGGGGTTCTGGGTTTTATAAGAAAAAGGCTGAGCTGGGCAGCCTTCAATCCCAGCACTTAGAAGGCAGAGGCACATGGATCTCTGTGAGTTTAAGACCAGCTTAGTCTACAGAGTGAGTTCCAGGACAGCTAGGAAAGTTACGCACAGAAGCCTTGTCTTGAAAAACAAAAACAGACAAAAAAGAAAGTAGGCTGAGGAAGTTATGATGAGCAAGCCAGTAGGCAGCACCCCTCCATGGCCTCTGCATCAGCTCCTGCCTCCAGGCTCCTACTGTGTGAGTTCCTGCCTCCAATTTTCCTTCAATGATGGACTATGATGTGAAAGTATAAGTCACATAAGCCCTTTCCATCCCAACTTGCCTTTGGTCATGGTTTCATCACAGCAATAGCAATCCTAAAACAAGGAGTGAATCCTGAATCCAGAATTCCCACAGTGACAGACTTCAGAAAGCAGCAACTTGGAGTCTGTCACTCAACGGATGACACCTAGATCAAGATGGCCAGGACCAGCATCCAGGCTCCTGGGTGTCGACACAGCCATCCATAACACATCTCTCCCACTCTGCCTGAGTGGACACTGTGTCCCCATCCCACCACAGCCCAGACCTATTATCCAAGGGAGGAATCATACCCACATGCCACCTTTCCCAAGACCAGCGGACACGTTCCAAAGTCAACCTCTCATGCTTTAAGGACTAATGATACATGTAAGGACCACATTTTTTCATGTTTATCTGTTTACTAACCCTACCCCTACACATTTCCTAAGGGGCTGGGAAGAACATGACACTACTTCAAGGTTTTGTTTTGTTTTTCGAGACAGGGTTTCTCTGTGTAGCCTCGGCTGTCCTGGCACTAGCTCAGTAGACCATGCTGGCCTCAAACTCACAGAGATCCACCTGCCTCTGCCTCCTGAGCGCTGGGATTAAAGGTGTGCCCACCACCACCTGGCAACCCTACTTCACATTTTACGTTTGGATGTCAAGAGATAAACCAGACTTGGGCGGGCATTCTTCGGCCCTCAAGCACACTCAGTGTACACGATGAACGTGATGCTTTAAGGAAGTCTTACTTGCGTTCATGAGGTGTCTCTGTGCTCACGGAGTGATACCTCATGAGTTTTCTCTGAGAGGCCGCTGGAGAGCTCTGAGCAGGCTCCGGGGGCGCCGTGCTCTCCACAGGGAAGTGACTCAGGGTGTTGGCTCTCCTTCTGAATGCCTGCTGGGGTGATAGGAGAGCCAACTCTTCTGCAGTGTGGCTCTCTGAGTCACTGCACAGGTCATCTGAGGAGCCAAGGAGCTTGAAGGAGCTCTCAGAGACTGGCATGGCCTCCTTGTCACCCATGGACAGCTCCTGACAACAGACAGACAACAGATTAGACAGACCACAGGGAAACTGGAGGGACTGGTAAATCTTTCTGAGCACAGGGAAGCATTTAATGTGTAGGCCTGTCTGACCAGGACGTCACCTAGAGGCTACCAGAAATACAAGGCTGCTAAGGGCATTGACTGACACCTGCTTCTCAGGGACAGATGTTTGCTCGATTGCTTGTCCCGAGCGCTATCTCAAGTTCACAAGCTGCAACTAAGTCATAGCACTGCTCTAAGTCATAGCACAATCAGACTGCACACCCCAGAGAACAGGCTTTTCACAGGCCTGTAAATATAGAGCTGTAGGGATAGTTTCCACCACTGAACCAACTTCTTTATCTTTGCCAAGCGTGTTCATGAATGTTTACCCACACTTGAAGGTTCTTTCTGACCCTGGTCTAATGTTGAGATTTAACTCAGTAACCTCAATGCTAAAAATTATACCCTATGTTCTTCCTGAAGTGGAAACGTGTATCAATCACACTGAGACCTGTCACAATTCAGGAGAATTCCCTCAACTTCTTGCTGCTTCTCGTTGTTTTAAGATTACAGTGAAAATCCATTGTACTATTTCCTGAAGCAAGATGAGGCAACTTTAAAGTGGGCTGTACTGTGTCTAATGAGACAGAGATGATCTAAAATTTCGTTAGGCACTCCCTCTACTGAGCGCTCAAACACTCATCAAGAGTTCTAACAAGCTGACCTTGGTGAGCATGACCGTAATTCCTGCTCCTGTAGAGGCCAGAGAATCAGGAGTTCTATGCCAGCGTAAGATACACATCACGGCAGGTGTGGAGGGGGGACATAAGAACAAAGGCTGGAGTGTCAGGGATCCTACTCCCTGGCTTATTTCCTCAGCACATCCTCCCTCTAAGCTTTCCTCAAGATTTAATTCACAGCATCAGTGTCCTTCCCTTCCCCAAGCTTCCCACTACCACACTCCTCTTCCCCTCCCTCCCGACATCCAAGCCACCAACATCTATTGTCTGCTCCTGCCACAGTCCCCGATGTCAGGTCTATTCATGTCCTTCCTCTTCCATGGGCCTACTCACCTTTTACAGCAGGTAAACTAGCAACACAACATTTGCACACTTGAAGGGAATTATTGTGAAGTAGGACCAGTGTGTGTCATGAGGGAATGGATGGAGATACAGCCCACTGGGTCTTAACGTAGAAAGCTACACGGAGACAGACAATCGGCTTCCAGGGCCTCAGTGAACGGGAAGTGGGTCTCCCAGCAGGAGCAGTGACACTACCTTGCTGTTGGCACTGAGACCCCACCCGGGACAAGTGAACCACACACACACCTTAGAATCTAAGGAAAGGTGCCGCAGACCACAGGCTACACACACTAGTAGGTGGTGACAGCAATTCGGTGTCTTGCCAGGAGCATTTTAAAAATAAGAGAGTTGACAATAACAGTGTATGTAGCCTGTTATTCGGAGAATAATTTCATTTTAACTCCATTTTCATCCTGTGCGGGAGGGGGGGGGTGTAGTTTGTAAACTATGTCACAGTGTTAAATGTCTTCCTTATTGTTGCTTAGGATTTGAGACCTTTGAAAACTGCAAGTCTAGGACAGAGCTCTGAAAAGACAGATTGCTGGAATTCAGACTCCCTCGTGCCTGCATTGGCAACAGCAGGGAGGGTGGAGGTGGAGGGCTGTCTCCTCAACACCAAACCTCCAATTTACCTCTTGGCAGTCATACGGTTAAACAACCAGGTTCAGACATGGGCAAAAGCTTCCAGAGCAAGACAGGAAAGCAAGGGGACACAAGAGATGTGTCACCACAGACGACTGTTAGCCAACTCATTGTACCTGTGCTCGGTGGCAGACCATAGCCAAGGCCCGGCTGCTTACTTAGACAAAACAATCGTGGGTCAGTCATGGGGTTAGCTGCAGGACAGCGGCTGGGATTTATGACATATAATTCCCTGACTTCACAGCCCAGCCTCCCACCTCTGAAGCTCTCTCTCATTTATTTATTTATTTTTAGTGTTGCAAAAATCTACTTTGGATAAGAAACTCATTGGTTGTTACAAATTAGATCTCATGTGTCTAAAATTATGGTCTTGATTCTTTGTGTATAGGAACAGCTGTCTATTTATTTAAAACTTTTATGTTATGATTTAAAAAAAAAATCCCATGAGTAGCCCTCCACCTGTGCAGATGCCTGGAAACACTAACGTTTTGTGACTAGAGGGATGTGGGGGTTTTGTCCTTCCGATAGAGCTGGGTGGAGAGGGGACAGGCAGGCCTACCACTCACAAAGAATGTGCTTACTTTGCTGGTGTTACTCAGAGTACTGGAAGTGGAGCTGTCCAGATCCACGCTGGCGGAATTTTCCTGCAGGCCTCTGGCTTTACTACCCTACATAAAGAAAAGGCAGTTGAGATACATCCCCCAAGCACCATCAGCTGCAGGCAGCCTAACCTCCCTCCTTAAGAAAGCTCAGAAAAACAAAGTCCCTGACAATCACTGCCGAGCATCCCCACGCATCACAACCGTCATGTCTGTCATCACTTTAAGGATATACCCACTTAGATGATCCCCAAAGCCCTGTGGATCCGTCATTTGCTGGGGATCACAGACAGGAAGAAGGGGCAATTCTTCTACGATGGTCCCAAAAGCACACTCAATAAATAGCTCTTTCCTGAGTCACAGGTGGCCATAACCACCACCGGCATGTCACACAATCACGCTGCATCCCTCTGGGAACTCTCAAAGGCAAGCCAGACCTTTCCAGCCGTGGTTTTATAACTGGACTGCTCTGAATTCTCTTAAGGGTTGTTGTGAAGTTCTCAGTAATACCACTGGACAAAGTCATGTTTAAGTGACTCACGCTTCAGAGGGAATATGCCCTAACACTTAAGAATTACAATGAATTAACACTAAGAATTACAATGAAATAGTGCAAGCCCTAAAGGTGCCAGGTTTTGATTAGTTAGAAGTGACATAAGACTATTCACACACAGGAAACAGGAGAATGCTTTCCTCAGGAACTAACTCCCAGGTGATGCTCAGTGTACTTGGCCCTCCCTAGAGAGCCCTTGTGGGCAACTTTCTCTACAAGGTACTTAGTTCTCTACAAATGTAACCTTAGATAATAGGCAAATGAACGAAATAAAGCTAGCTTTATTTACACAAACACAAGGCTGGTAAGACTTGGCCCATGGGTCAAATATTTCATGAATGTGCTTATAGGGAGTTCCAAACACTTACCAAAAGGAGCTGATAGGACAGTTTACAAAACTGTCCCCAGGGACACCAGGAAAGATGGGGCTACCTCTTGGCATACATAATCTCTGTTCTTTATAGGGACTATACAAATGCATCACTCTTGGGAGCAGAGAATCCCACTGGGTAGACTACAAAGGAGTGTAAATTTCTCAGCACTTGGGACCTTGAGGCAGTAGGGTTTGGGAGTGTGAAGACAGGCTATGCTACACAGTGTGATACCATCTCAATAAATCAATGAAAAAAAAAAAACAAATAAAACGTAGATAATTATTGCTCTAAGTCTGATAAGACATAAAACCGAGCTGAATCCTGGGCTCTGTTTAAGAACTGCTCAGTTGAAGTGAGAGGGAAGGATGCCACCTACCCGGGACAGGATGCTCTCCAAGGATTCTGTTAAGGACCTCTTTGCTCTGTTCTTCAGCATATCTAGCCTGAACCGGGTAGCGCTGGGGGGCAGTTCACTCCCAATATTCTCTGCTGCCACCTGTGCTGTCTAGAAAGAGAAACAAAAGTTGACTCCCACCCTTCTGAGTACACGAACCCTGTGGGACCCATCGCTTTGGGGGCCTGGGGTCCCCTGTGCTCCTTAGTGACATGCCTGCAAGGCCTGTGCACACTTCGCCGTCTGAAATAAACTGAGAAGATGTGCTCCCACCCAGTCTAATTAGCTACCTTTTAGGCTACGCGACTGAATCAGAACCTTGCTGTTTCCTAACTGTGGCCTTGTGCACAATCCCCATTTTCTCAGAGCCTGGTAAATTGGGAGCAGTAATCATCCAATCACATCTCTGTGTTATGAGACTACAGCGGGAGGGAGAGAGGCAAGCACTGAGCGTAGGACCTGAGACAGAAACTACTTTGCCAACCTTTTAAAAATAAAGCAATAACTTAACCTGTGGGGCATTTCAGGGAAGTTAAAAATTAAGTTTATCCACTGAATCCACCCTCCTGTCACACACTTTGTCCCTTTTTAGCATCTGTCTCCCCCCTTTCCTCTCTTACCCCTGTGATTTCATGATCCCTTTTCTCCTCTGAAACCTGGCTTCCCTCTCTCAGCTACACACGACATTAAACCAAAAGCACGGTGGAGTATGACAGCCGCTAAATATGTAATGTTACTTGTTAACAAGTAGATGTTGCCAAAAAATTACCTCCCACAATCCGCACCTTCAGCTGTACATGGACTCTTACCTGACTGCTTCCTGATGGATGACAATTCGTTCAGAAAAAGACAAGCAAGCAAGCCCTCAACCACTCAAAATACCAACACATTCTGTCCCTACTCCATGACTATCACGTATGACGAGACCCTATGTTCCGGCGACTGCTCTCAGGAATCATTACACGTCACTGAAACCTCCCGACCACTAGTATCCCCCACCATGTCAGCCAGTACCCTGAATTTGGTGTTTATTATATTAATTCATACATGTATCCATCAAATATATGCTGCCTAGCATGCAAATAAACACCTAGGTAAAAGGTGTCACTGGTCGTGGGAATGTGAATTTGTGTGGCTGCTATGGAAGTTAGCATGGAGTTTTTTCAGAACTCTAAAAGGAGAACTACCATGTGACCCAGCTGGGCCATTCTTGGGCATGCACTAAACCATCATACACAGAGACACCGTGACATCCATATTTACTGCAGTACTGCTCACAAGAGCAAGGGACAGAATCAGGGTAGGTGCCCATTAACAGATAGATAAGAGATAATGTGATGCACACACACTACAGACATATAAAAGAACAAAATTACATCACCTGAGGGGAGTGGATGGAACTGGAGATAACCATGTTAAGTGAAATAAGCCAGATTCAGAAAGACAAATGCCACTTTTTCTCTATGTAGAATCTAGATTTAAATCACACAACACACACACACACACACTAGACATGCAAAATAAAAAAGTACCATACTGCACAAATTTCTATGCAATTATCTCTCTTCTCCCAATATTGTTTTTGAGATTTATCCATGCTAACAATGTTTTTTGGTTCATTCACTTCAGCCCAAAGACAGTTTTATTGAATTGTACAACCAATCTATTCCTGTCCCTACTATTAAATATTTATCCCCTTTTTCAATTTTTTTTTATTTTTATTATTTATTTTTTGCTGTTGTGAATGAGGACACGGTGAACTCTCATGCACAGCTCCTTAAGCATGCACACAGAAGGTTCTACAAGGGAAATATTGGGGATACCCTTGCTGGTCACAGGCACCAAGCATCTGCAGCAATGCCAGGTTATCACCAACAGCAGGTATCTCCCAGAAATGATCCCAATTCATAGCCTCAGCATCAGCACGTGAGGACCAACCTGCTAGGGCACTGTCAGCATCCTTATAGTTCTGCCAAACTGATGGATACACAATGCTCTGTGGATATGGCCTAATTCCTACTACTAGTAAGCAAAAACTTTTTTATATTTTTTTTCAAACATTCAAAGACTCTTTGCCTTCTCTGGAATAATGAAATCCCAATTCACTGATGAATGTTCTACCCCTCCAGTGTTTAGGCGAGAAAGTAGGGGTTTAGATAAGAGCGACAGTCTGATAAGAGCTACATTAATTGTTCACTTTTATAAATTCCACATATTATTCATAATTAGGACATCTGTGAGAAGAATAGCTACTAGCTTAATATTTCTTCAAGGAACACTAACATTTTTATCCCTGTGTTCTCCTAGTGGACAGCAAGCAGCACTGAGTAGGAAATATGAATTCTCAGCTTAAGAGATGATGGAAGAGACATGTTTGTCAGACAGCCCTGTAGAGAACATGTGCCTGATTAAAATTATGACTAAAATAATATACTTAGCCTTCACTAGCAAGTTTCTTCATGTCTGTTCATACTTCAACTCTAAAATGTGTATTTTACTACCCAATTAAAAATGATGTGGTAGCCAGGTATATTGGCACATGCCTGTACTCTAGCACCCAGAACGCAGGGGCAGAAGCCAACGGATAGCTGTGAGTTCAAGACCAATCTGTTCTACATAGCAAAGAAAAAAAAAAAAAGTGTCTGTAAACTGAATGGGATAGCTCATAAGCATGATATACTACAAATGCCAGTCCTGACTGTGAAGCTCCGTCTCTTTCATATCAGTCTCTCGCGTTTGGAAAATAGAAACAAGGATTAAAAAAATTTCTCCAAGGGGCTGAACTATGCCCAAATCATAAAGGTATTACCTTGAGTTCATAAAAATTAATTTGTACTTAGGTCAAAACTTCCATCTACTACTATAAATAAGTGCTTCATTCTGTTTTTTCTAACAGTTATATGATTTTAAAATTATCACTTTCCTGTCAGACTGACTCAAAGAAAAAATAGTCATATTATTGTGGCACAAAGTGTTAAAAGGCTGTGTGGGGTGTGTGTGTGTGTGTGTGTGTGTGTGTGTGTGTGTGTGTGTGTGTGTGTGTTCGCACTGCGTGCACATGCGACCGTGTGCACGTGAGAGTGTCTGTGTAAAATAAATCAGCTGAAGTGAAAAAGAGAAGTAAGTCACTGGAAAGCTTGACTGGGTGGGGCCATACCACTAGGAAAGAGGTGGGCTCAGGACCCCGAAAGGCTAGGGCGGGAGGGCTGGCTGCAGACTGAGGCCAAGAGCTCAGGGCACAGTTGATATCCAAGGGGTCAGGCCACCACTCCAATGAGATAGCAGTTTCTGGGACCACAAGAGCTCTAACAGTTCCGGAGAAGAACTTGACTGCCAAAGCCAACTGGCAAGCAGACACCAACCGGAGGGAGCTGCTAAGCCTGCGCCCAAGTGAAACAGCACCGGGTTAGTTACCAGACGGCAAAGGAGCCTGTGCGGAGCGGAGCACAGGGCACAGCTCTCTGCCGTGGGAATGTGTGTCTGGAACAGGTTTAAAATATAACAAAGTACACTTTTACAAAGCTGAGGAACCTGATGGCCGTTCACTGATTTTTTTCCCTTCTAGATTTTCCATATCAGTAACTTCAGCAAATATAAAATGCTCAGGGGTTGAAGCTATTAATAATGAATTAGTAAGAGAAACAGGGGACTTGGTCCATGACACATGTATGCTGGACCCCATACTCGAAGGTCCTGAAGGCAGAGTCTGCAGAGATGGGAAGTCCCAGTTTCTGGCAGGAACAGGCATGGGGGGAGATAGCACCCCGTCATCCAAATGGAATAACGGAAGTCCTGACTGAATGACACGGAGCCAGGCTTCCCCACGCCGCATCCGGGAGGCCAAGGACACTGTCACACGTTTACATAGCATTTATACAACAAGAAACTTAAAGGCCCTGAATGTACTCCCAGGGGCAGCTGGACAAAGGCAATGAAGACCAGCTTCCCACGTCATACAACTCTTTAGATCCAAGCCGTGGCTACAAGCCACTATAGTGCAGACTGAAACGGCTCGCCATCTTTAACACAACTAACTCTCCCTCATTTCTCTTTGTGTGCAATAATGAAAACAAAGCTGACGGAGGAAAAGAGGCTTCGTGTAGAGTGGCCCCACACAAGTGCGAGGGGTCATGAGCTGCGTACCTGCTTTGGCTCCCCAATGTGGCTGTGCTCTTTTTGCTTCTCTTCGTATAAACATCTCAGAAAAGAAATAATTAATTCATTCTCTCGCTGCTCGTTTCTTGGCCTCAATTTCTTTTGGAGAAAAAGAAAAACAGAAGCATAAACATATTTATCTTTAATTGTCAACAAAGCTGCTAACACATCCCCTAGTAACTGGTGCTTTTCCTCAATGCTCTCACTAGGGGGCACCAGTGACCCTCAGAGTGGAGGCAATTATTTAAAAGAACAGACCCTGAGCCAGATTTACGAGATGATCTTTAATGCTCTTTTACAAGACAAATTTTTTAGCATCAGATAGTGGCGGTCAAAATAGTTAATAAACAGCTTTCAAAATCTCTGTAAACACCCGAAGTCATAATGATTACACATTTATAGGCTCTTAAGGTTAAGGACCTACAAGGAACACAGCAATTGGATCGAGATCAACAGCCGGGTGGCATCCCCGTGAAACAGGTATGAGAAACTGCATGTCAGATTCTCATGCTGGCCCCCCTCCCTCCCTTTCCCCTTCCCCTCCCCTCCCTCCCCTCCCCTCCCCTCCCTTCCCCTTCTCTCCCCCCTTCCCCTCCCTCCCCTTTCCCTCCCCTTCCCCACTTTAGCCTTTTTTCTTTTAACATCCTCTCCAGGGCTTTTAATTTGTTAGCAGGGATGGTAAACCCTTCTACAAATTAGCACATGTACATTTTATTTACTTGCAGAAACCAATTTATTCTGTCTAGCTTCCCCTAACAGACTATGGCCTCCTCTAGCTCCCAAATCTTTGCATTATAAACATAAACAAAACCAATTACCCAAATTACCTCAGAGAAACACAGTATCTGATCCATGAGCTTTGCTAAGACTGTCAGCTCCACTGCCCAGCCCTCCTACTTATCTCCACACTGCTAGCCTGCCCCTTAACAAGTCAAGAGAGTGACAAACAGATCAGCTATACAAGCAGTAGAGTCTGGGTCAATGCCATTATTGGCAAATTTCTCCCCAGCTAACTAAGGATCAGTAGTGGTATTATCCTTAGAGTCACGAGCATTAAAGACAAAGGAAGCCTTAATCCAGACTTCCGACATGCTCTTCCTTAGAAAAAGGTCATTTTAAATGGCAAGTTTTAAAGGTTGACAAGATGGCTCAGCAGAGGCACTTACTGCCAACTAGCTGACCCAAGTTGATCAATTACACAGGTGACAGACAGATAAAGAGAGAGCGGGACAAACAATTCACATGGGCAGACAATGAAATCGCAAGCAGGCATGATAGAGTACTGCAGTTGCTGCCCACTGACAACAGGAGCCATGAGACCTCACTGGAACTCATTAAGCATCCCAAGGCAATCCCTGCAGTGCAGCAGAATGTATGATCTAGTGCCACACAAAGTCAAGAAATAAATACTTCCTCAAAACAACTGTGAAATATGGAGAGGCTACCCTCCTACTGCATTCAAAAAGATGAGGGATGTGTCATCACCCTAAAATCTCTCTTGTGGTTTCAGCATTCTCTACAGTGGCTAAACTTCTTTCAAGTTTTATACACATTCATTAATCAGAGTGACAATCATGAAAATGATTATGAATCAAGTTGAGTAGCATCACTTTGCGGTCAATAATTAACTTGCTTGTTCACAATCAGAGGTGTGAGGAGCTGGGATGGCGGTTACGGGGGTGGGGGAGGAGGTTGTAAAAATGAGGTTTGTTTATCAGGAAAGAAAAGGTTCTATGCTCAACCTTGGTGCTGACTCCACAAGTACAAAGACCATACATTTGCTTGCTTTTCTATAAGTGTTTCCATCAATTTAAACAACCCAAAACAGCCAACTTCTTGCTAAAGGTTAATTTATTTCTTAACCTTGTTTCTCCAAGTGTCTTCTACAGTATCATAAAAGCAACATAAAAAAATCCTGATACTGACAGTTAAGTGTCAGAATACTGAAAAAGTCTAAGGTGCTCCAAGGAAGTCACTTAAGACATGCTTTACTTGGATTTCACACTTGATATTTAATTAAAGACTTTGAACCCTTATTTCTGTTATTATCACTGCAGTGTCAGCTTTAAGGAAGTTACTTCTGCTGAAGATGGCCAATGCATTTGGGGTGCTCGAAGAGTGAGGCACATGAGAAGAGAAGGGAATCTGTGTTGTCGTTGGCACAGACGATCCCCTAGGTATGTCTGAAAATCACACACTTCAAGCTTGTAAATGAAAGGTAGTTCTGTGGTGTTGTTGGTTCTTTTAGGAGATGAAAGGCTAATATCCCAGTGCCCATCTGCCATCATTTACTCTGAGGGCTCAAGATCTGTGGCCATCATCTCTATTTCCATTTGTTTAGTTATTATTTAAGCTTTCTCCTAAAAGAAGCAAAGTATAATATACATTTTTTAATGAAAAAATAATAAGTATGAATTTTAAAGGTAATTACACTGGCCTTATATAATTGACCTTTGGGAGGGTTTTTCAGAAATTAATTACCCCCCCCCAGGAAAGACTACATCCCATTTTTATATGACCTTTTTGAACTGTGAATCTTCAAATACATTAGTAGGGTAACTACCACCCACCACTGATTAGTGACTGAGCCTATAAAATGTTTTAGAAAAAACCATGGGCCATGCAGGAAGGCCATCAATACATCACCAGAAAAGATCAGACTGTATCTCTCAAAAGAAGCCAGTGTTTGCACTGGTGGAGGGTAATGGATGAGCTGGCTTTTCCAGGACAGTGAACAGCATGGCTACTTCTGTTCTTCAGAGAGAGCAAACTCCAGAGCTGTGAGAATACTAAATTGCACTCTGCAATACCAGCCGGACGCTTCTGCTTTTTCAGTGAACTTTTACCATCTGCTTTTTTCAAGCGTCTCCTTGTTTGTGGAGGAGCGAGATCATACCCATTAGACTTATCACTACCGCAGGACAGGGTTCTGGGAATTGCACATACTGAGTGAGCATCATCACACTGTCTAGGGAAAACACCATGGTGTTGTCTGTATCAAAGTGGAAACCTGCATTAGGGAAGGGAGTCAGTCTTCTGTGCTTGCCAGGATGATGCTCCCAGAGTGACTTGGTAGTACCACGCCCTTAGCGGGTTGGTACTGAAGGCCTTGGCTTTAGTTGCAATGCATTAAGAATGAGAAGCAAAGTTGTGAGTCTCAACAAAACACAAAGGCAAATAAAAATTATGAAAACAACCCTCAAGGCCATTTGTGAAATTAAAACAACAACAAACAACCTTTCTTATTCTTTCTTTCTAAAATGCATGCCAATCCTACAGAAGAACAAGGGAATTAGAGAACTTTACTGAAAGACCAGAAAGAAAAGCATACCGTTTCATGGCCTCCCCCACGAGGGGTGAGAACACACTCAGTTCCCTGCTTGTGTGGTGTAATCACCCTCTAACTGTAGACCCTGCCAAGTCACTAGTGGAGACACTTGCTGCCTTTGAAAAGTACCAGGAAACTACCAAGATGGCTCCCTGCTCCGCAGACATGAAAACTGTCGAGTGAGCTCATCAGAGATGCTCAGCACCAGGCCATCGCTGGCTGACACACTGGGCCTGGTTTGCCCAGATGCAGCAGCTGCAAGCAGGATGAGAGGGGCCTTCCAGGTTTAATGCATGCAGCTTGTGAGGGTGCTTCTCTATGTGGTGGTTTTGTTCTGCTCTCATTTTTGGGTTCCTATTATTACATGGCTCTAGACACATATCTTCAAAAATGGAAAGACAAGTGTTGAGAACAATTATGCTTAAAGCCATATACGCAAATATCTTGTGACTCCCACAGTGAGAGATGGAATCCCGAGTGGCAAGAGGCTGACAGAAGTTCCCAGGGAACAGAGGCGAGCACGTGGACCCACACCCAGGCCTTCTGTCCCCTGGTCTGAGGGTCTTCCTACACAGGGCACTGCACAAGCAGACTGCCTGGTACCGTCCCACCAGACACTACAGGGCACTGTACCTGAACTTCCTCGAAAATGGCTGCCTGCTCCTGATTGGTCAGCGTGGTCAGGTGCTTCTGGAGTTCTAGTTTGGTTTTAGATGAATTCATTCCTGTTGGGAAGAGAGAAGACAGCATTCAGAGCTGCAGTTACCACCTTCCAGAATCATCCACCCACTTCAGGACACTTGTGTTTGACAACAATGCCGGCTTTGAACGGCACGCTGTCAAGTGCTGTGCACCAGGCATCCAGCCTGCATCCTTCACTGGGAGTATTCAGGAAAGCCAAGGACACAAGACTTATAAAACGCCTTCTAATGCCACCCATTTTTAGCTCCAAATTACTTTCTCGGTGTTAAATTACTGTTGACAATCCAAACATTTTCTTTAAAAATGACGAACTCTTCCAACCACGAGAACATGAAAACACTTTCTTAATGAAAATCAAGTGGTACTGAGTTGAAAACTGATCCACATTTCTTCCTTCGACTCTATTCACGTCCCCTCCAGTGACGGACGGTGCCCCTCCTACCATAGCTTAAGTCTTAAGACCGGTTCAGTCAAGATTACGAAGGATTCTGAGGAACACTCACCAAAATGAATACATAAAAGCTCAGAAACCATTAGAATCTATCATTAAGACATTCCATTCCTGCGTGAATACAATTCAGGACCCAGTTTCTGAGTTTTCAGGTAAAAAACGTCACGGCGACTTTGAGAACAAAAGTGTGTGCTAACCCAACCATCCTGGGATAAAGGCCTGTTGCTGGCTTCTTCTACTAGGCCACATTTCCCCATGCTGAGGGCTGGAGAAAAGCCCGCCAGAGCAGGGAATCCATGGGGACTCAAGAAACTCACTTTATGGTTGAGTTTGGTGCAGTGCACAGGAGCCTGGGAACTCGGGGGAGGTCAGAAGGCCCGTCAGTGGCCAGGCTGTCCAACGTCAAAGTCCTCCCTAACTGGCACAGGGTGCTGACTCTATGCAAAATAGGGCAGGCACCTCAGCTTCTAGAATGTTATTCTTCATTACTTGGTCTTCAACCAAGATGAACTCTAAAAGGCAACCATAAAACTAATGCCATTTCATTCAATACTTCAAATGTTGAAGCCTCAAAATAAATCACTGAGGTAGGAACTTAGTTTTCAGTAACCCTGACATAGATAAGAAACTGAGACTCTGAAATCACGTATTTAGTCCAAAGTCATCCACAAATAAGGAGGCAAACTGTCTGCCTCCAGAAACCAGATTCCTGTGGTCCTTACTGAGTCTTGACTGGCAGAGCCAAATGACGCCAACACACAGGTGGCTCCGGTGCAGAGGTGACTTCAGAGGTGGGTTGAAGTAGAGAAAAGGCTGTGATGGGGTGATTATCAACTATCCCTGCTACCTGCAGGGTTACACGGAGCTAGGGGAGTAGGCTCATGGCTTTCTATAGAAATTCTTTAATACTGAATCACAATCATGCTTGAATTTATTAATAAAATACTCAGTAATCACAACTAAAAATCCTCCCAAATATGAAAAGATGTCTCTAATGTAGTCTAAACATCAAACTCTGGAGCTACTGTACTACTGTTAGCAAGTGGGGGAAACTATAACTCTCCAGGAAGTTAGAGTAGTTGGTCTACTAAAAACATCAGATGCAATCCGAAGCCTCATCCTTTTCTCCACTGGATGGATGGACAGGTTTCCTGACTGGCCCCAGGCAGACTTTGGATGCTTCAATATGGCAGGTCCTTCTACCTCAACTTAGTATTTTGTTTTTCAGAGAGAGCATGATTAATGTTATAATCTCCAAAATGTCCCTCTAAACTCTGAAATAAACAAAATACTATTCAATACCACAGCATTTGGGTAGTTATATAGTTCACATAAGTAATTCAGAGTAGCTTCGCTTCTTAGAGGCTGTGCAAGGGTATCAGCATTGAGTGGCTAGTGAAACCACACATACAATGTAGTTACTCTGTCTTATACGTACAGCTTGACTACAACAACTGCTTAAGGAAACACTCTACAAGTCTTTCTTCTTGTTTCCGTGGTTGTGTTACCAGTCCTTTCTATAGTTTGTGAAGTGCTTGGTCAAATCATAACTTCCTGATAGGACTTTTTGGCAGTACAGGGGATTGAACCCAGGGTGTTATGAAAGCAAGCCAAGCACTCTATCAATGAACCACAGCCTTGGATTTTGGAGCCTTTTAGATGTTAGGATTAGGGATGCTCAATTGGTAATGACAAGATGCTTGGTTCTTAGTGATGGAACCTGGAACCTCAAACATGCTAGGTCAGTGCTAGGTCAGACTGAACTATGTCCCCACCCAAGACTACCCTCACAGTAATATACAATGGCTTTCAGTAAATCATTCCATTCCACTTACTGGGACTGGGACTACAAAAACCAATGGACCCAAAAATCTGTCCATTAAGTCATCAGTACTTCTAACCAAGGTGGCCTTTCATAATTCCCCATCTATCCCTTTAAAAAACGTTTCCCACACAGTGGGTAAAACACACACTCTCCAGACTCCTCATGGCTCTGTGGAATGTGTAATGGATGCTTTGTACAATTTTCTGCCTTAGCTGGAATTTATCAAATGACTATTCTCCAAACTACAAGAGCGAAATCTTGATCCTGATTAAAAATTCCGGCTACAACTTTTTGAATACTCAGGCCCAATACAGATTTCCCAAATGGAACTCGGCAGTAGTGAACTCTGTAGATCATGATCTCCTCTATCTGTGAAGTCACTGCTGACTTCTTAATACACCCCGAGGGGCATCTCCATCATCATTTACCTTATCTGTGACAGCCATCACGAAAGAACTAGTGAGCCTCTCAGTCGGGCTCTCATGTTAAAGCAACATCTCATTCCCAGATACAGTTTATATACTGTCAGCAAATAGTAACCACATGGAAACTTGGGAACTAGTTTTAAAAATACATCAATCATGCTCATTTCAAGGGCTCTGTAATGCCCAAAGTGAACCCTTTCAGAATTTATGATGTCAACTACTAAGTCATCTTACTAAAAAATATAAATAAACCAGATAACATTTCATTCCTATTAAGACAGCTACCGTCATAAAATTTGTTTTTGTAAGGACGCAGAGAAGTTAGAATCTGCGTAGGTTGCAAATATAATCGTTACAGAACAGTACGGAGGGACTGAAAGATAAGACTTACTGTGCTGACTAGTTTTATGTCAACTTGACACAGGCTAGAGTCATCTGATAGGAGGGAACCTCAATTGAGAAAATGCCCCCCATAAGATCAAGCTGAATGCAGCCTGTAAGGCATTTTCTTAATTAATGATCAATGGGGGAGAGCCCACCCATTGTGGGTGGTGCCATCCCTGGGCTGGGGATCCTGGGTGCTATGAGAAAGCAGGCTGAGCAAGCCATGAGGAGCAAGCCAGTAAGCAGCACCCCTCCACGGCCTCTGCATCAGCTCCTGCCTCCAGGTCCCTGCCCTGTGTGAGCTCCTGTCCTGACTTCCTTCAGTGATGGACAATGATGTAGAAGTGTGAGCCAAATAAACTGTTTGCTTTCCAAGTTGCTTTGCTCATGGTGTTTTATCACAGCAACAGAAACTCTAAGTAGGACACTCACCATAAAAATCAGCAATGTCACCCCCCACCAGAAGAATTGGAAGCAGAAACCTGAGCAGATGTTTATACCAATATTCTTAGCATTGCTGCTCACACAGTCAAAGGGGAAAAAAAGAACCCAAATGTTCAATGGTGAATAAACAGATGGCAACATTATTCAGCTATACAAAGAAATACGATTCTGATACATACAAAATGAGCAAACCCCGAAGACATAATGCTAAATGAAAGGAAGGAAGGAAGGAAGAAAGGAAGGAAGGAAGGAAGGAAGGAAGACAAATCCCACTGATTCCACTATAGGTAGCTAGATTAATTCGCTTTGTAGAATCAGAAAGGAAGGGTGTGGTGGGGAGAGGGGGTGGCTCCGTAGTAAGAGTGCTTGCTCTGCAAGCAAGCAGACCTGAGTCAAAGCAGGGCATCCCCCCTGTGCCTGCCGGTAACTCCTGCACTGGGGGACAGAGACAATGGACTCAGCACTCCCAGCCAGACTAGCCCAGCTGAAAATAGCTTCTGGTTCAGTGAGAAACCCTGGCTCAGGACAAGGCAGAGAGTCACAGAGGAAAGCACTGTCTCCCTGCTCTGGCTACTGCATGTGTGGGCACCACAATTACACCCCCCCCACACACACACGTGGGAAAACAAAGCAGAATGGTAGTTGCTTCGGGCTATGGGAACCTTACAAAGAGGCAAGACTGCTCAATGAATATGATTCAGTTAGATGAGGAGGTTCTGGAGATGGACAGTAGTCAGGCGTTACTCCACACTAAATGGACTTAAGACCACTGAACTGTATGTTTTGTTTTTAAATGAAAACTATAAATTTTATGTTTGGGTATATTTTTTCTCACGATTATTTGGAAAAAAAGTGTGTTTTTGTTTTGTTTTGTTTTGAAGTCAAAATGTCAATATAGTCTTTCTTTACAGAATTATAGTTTGTGACAAGTATTCTAGATACACAATAATCACATCTTGTTTTTACAATTGGGTAATTTAAATGATATAACGGTCTCAAAAACCACAAAAAAAAATATTTAGAAATCTTCCTACAGATAGGACAAGATACAAAATGAAGGAAAGAGAAACACAAAACACCTCCCTTTTCAGATCTTTCAAAAGAGCACTGACCACCCTCTACCAGCCCTCCCTGCTGACCCACGGCAGCAGAACATTCCCTGCTCAAGAGGGTCTTTCCAGTCCTGAGAGATAGTTGGCTCCAGTAACAGTGAGGGTGGTGCATCCTGGGATTGCATATATGCTAGCTTATCCCTAGATGGCTTTAATCTCCCAATAATTTATTTGTAAAATCATACAACAATTCACTTTTTTTCTCACAAACGTGGTGAAGACAAAATTGATAACTGATAACTCAGCACAGTAACTGACTCCTCTTAATATCAAATACCCACAAATGATACCATTCATTCCACTGTAAACTATAGTACAGCCTGCTCTCCGTTCCCCTCCATCCAAACTGCGCTGGCAGAGATTACAGGTGACCCTCAAGCCTTTAGGTCTCATTTTCCGATCTCTCTGTGGTGACCAATTCGAGTGGCCCAGCATTCTCCCACAGCTCAGTAAGTGTCTGGTGACGCTTTTCCTCCTAACTTCCCCACTACTCTCGGAGCCTTGGAGGCGAGATGACAAGGGGAGACAGCGGCTCTTAGCTTTGTGTCCATCATGCCAGGAAAACTTGCCACACAGCAGACATCCACTGCACTATGGAAGTCCACCTACGATGCAGCCCTCCGACACAATCCCCCTGGTGCAGCTCAAGCACAACAGGGCCACAAATACTCCCACCCAAGGCACATGTGCTACAGCTAACGGTGCCTCCTGCTTACCCTCTATCCTCTCGCAGAGTCTGTGCAGGCCCTGCAGGGGGCAGCCCTCGCACAGCTGGGCTGGTGCCTGAGCAGTCTGCTGTACCGCGGCCACGGTGAAAGCCTGCTTCAGAGTCATCATGATCTCGTCAACCTGGGCAGAGAACAACATGTCATCAGAAGTTTACAGAAAAGTCTTTGTCCTGCAAACTTTTTTCCCAGCTATTTTTCACGGACTGATGGAACACGGTGGAAATAATTGCTAGGATTGTGGTCTGTGGATGACCGCTTACAGATTCAGCGCTCTTAACACAGGTGAGGCACAGGGTAAAAGCAAGTGCCCTTTGGTCCAAAGTTCACAGGGATATTATTTTTTTAAACTTTTTTTCTTCCACATTTCTTTTTAGTACTGGGCCCCACAATATGGCTCAAGTGGGTTACAAACTTGCCCTACAGCTCTCTCGCTTCCAGTCTTCTCATCTCAGGCCTAAGCGCTGGGATTTACAAAACAGGGCCACCACACTCGGGGAAAATGAAGTTTCTAAATGCTGCGTGACAGTAAAAGCAAGCATGTCTTTCAAAACTATTGAAATTTAAAGTGAAAATTCAAATGAGTGTCAGATGCATAGCTGAGAGGTACTAGTCACAGGTGAATAACGAAGCCAAGTATCACCATGTCAGCAAAGCTCTGCAGTTCTACAGAAAACTCTGCAGGCTTGAAATTCCTCGTGGGGCTTGCAATGGGTGGCATGGTCCTCTTACCAGGGCTTCGTTTGTGCACTGGAACACGTAACAGACGAAATGAAAGCCGCCGCCGCCGCCCGAGCACTCCCGGCAGATAAACCCAAAGTGGTCCACATGCCTGATGCCCTGAGCAAGGAGGAACGAGGAGGCTTGAGTGGTATGGAGAGACAGGGATGCTCTATGGTGACACTGCCCCCTTTACAGAGCACTACGAGATCACTGCTCACATGCTTTTAAGTACAAGTCAGCATCCCAGTCAAACGTTACTTATTACCTCAGAATGAGAGTCAAGGTTTGGAAGCTCACATCCCAATGCTCGCTTCAATATTTAAAAAAGGAGCAGACAGGAAGCTGACAGAAAACCTACATCTTTGTAGCGTGGGGAGGAGCACACGGAATGAAAACTACTTCAGAAACCAACAGCACATTAGAGACTAAGAAACAGCTCTCACACCAACACACAGGAACAAACATGTACACCCAACTCACAGAGGTAACGGTTAAGAAGAGATCCAAACTGTGTTGGTACTAAATTCACAAGCAGATACTGAACTGAGCTGGCATGAAGGATGAGCAAAAAAATCACTTCTATGCTGAGGCAAGCCAGCAGCTTTGATGTCTCTGAGACAAGGCCAGGGCTCCGCCAGTTGTCACACACGCTTGCTCTGCATAAACTCAAGCGGACAGAGTGCTTGTCGCTGCTGCCTCCCAAGTCCGTCAGAAGCAACTGCAATGTCTCTTTAATCTTATGCTTATTTAATGGGCATGAGTGTTTTGCCTTGATGTATGTATGTGTACTGTGCACATGCCTGGTGTCACTGGATGTCAGATATGCATTCCAATTCCCTGGAATGGGGTTAGAATGGTCACGAGCCACCATGTGAGCAGTGGGGACAGACCCTGGGTCCTCAGCCAGAAGAAGCGTTCTCTTACACAGTGAGCCATCTCTCCAGCAACAACGGCTAGTTTTCAGCGTCACCTTGACAAGACCTAGAATCACCTGGGGGAAGGGCCTCTGGGGATGCCTGTGGGGATTATTTTCACTACATTAATCGTGCTGAGTAGATCCGCACTGAATATGGTACTGAATTCAATTCCCAGCAATGGTGACTCACAACCATCTATAATGAGATCTAGTGCCCTCTTCTGGTATGCAGGCAGAACACTATATACATAATAAATAAATAAATACATTTTTTTAAAAGAAAGAAAAAAAGGTTTCCCTACTCAACTTGTTACGAACATTAACTTGTTACCATATTTAGGAACAACATCTTTTTGGCTACTTAATTAGCTTACATTTTACAGTAACAAACAACTAAGATTTTTACATCTTATTACAGAAATGAAAAGGTGGAATATAAGAAAAAATAAATCACCAAACAGAAACATAAATGATCTCTTATTTGCCAGGACAATCCAGAGAAAACTGGCCCATCACAATTGACAGATTCCTCCCAGATCTCTCTATGAAACACAGCTGGAAGACTAACAAACACAGAAAGTTTCAAGTAGACACTGCGTTCCGGATTAAACTCCCTCAAAGTAAGTACCATTCATCATATTTACAGAAGAAATCGTGAGACATTTTTAAAAAATTAAGAATTTAAGAAAGTAGAAATGTTTCTATACAACACACGTATGAATTATATATAAAAACACATCAATTATGTATGAATCATGTATACATACATATATACCTCAATTATGTGTAAAGCATGCTTGTACATCAATTATACATAAGACATGAACACACATATAAGCATTGATACCAGTAACAGAGAAAAGAAAGTAAGGTAGCCAGTCTTCTCTAGAACACTGTTCCAACAACAAAACTGTTAATTTCATGATTATAATCTGCCTTAGTAAGCTATGAGGTAAAGAGACTACCAATTAAGATTTAAAACCTGCTTTCTCATACAATTGGCATGCATTACAAGAACTGAAATTCAATCAACCGTCTGTCTATATTTACCTGAGAGCAAAAGGATATCTCCTTAAAATTTTTCTCCAGTGCAATCTTTTTGGTGTCAGGACTGATGAGGTAAACTTCAGATTGGCCAATCTTAAAAAACAAACAAACAAAAAAAGAAAGAAAGAAATGTGGTTCTCCTGAAAACTGATTCAGTATATGTGTCATGACCTATGAGGATAAAGAGGAAAGTGGCAAGCTCTTACAAAACTCTAAGTGTATCGCTGCAAAAGACTTTCCACGTTCGCAGTTTATAGCATGGATTTCAAATGACAGGGACAAACCCCTATGTGATTGGTACAGTGGTATTTATTCTGAGAGGGAAGGACCACACAGCTAAACAATGGTAACAACCCTCAAAGTCCACATCCCCTTCAACAGGAAATTAGTTTCTATATAAGTCAATATCCCAGAAAACAATAGTTTCTATTTAAAATTTCCAAAACACCTATGGCAGCAGACTGTCACAGTGTCGGGCTAGTCTGCCTCCCTGAACGTAGTTACCTCTGAATGCTGACGTTTCTCTGTTCCTGGGTGTTGGTTTCTACAGATTTAATCCCTCCTCAGGATCAACAAGGTATTGATCACATCTTCTTATCTCTCTAACTCCCAAGCTCTTTACTCTTTGACATGAAGTATGAATCAGAGAACAAGATGTGGATGTACAGCTTTGTGCAGGCTGCAATGCCAAGGGCCGCATGGGCCACAAAGGTCTTTATTTGTTCACTTGTAACTTGTAAGCAGAGGTCCGGGAATGTGAGGTTGCTATTGGCCTCTCTGACACGACTGATTTCACACGTCACATCACTATTACGTCACATCAGCAGAGCCCTGAAGCAAGGAAGCAGAGCCAGGACAACTGAGGGGCCTGTCAGGAGGAGGAAGGCAGTGGGACAGTATCTTCAGGACTCTAGAACAGCTAGCTCCTTCCCAGCTTTCTCCCCTCGAGCTCTCTGGCCGCATGGAAACCACTGGTGACAATCACTTCCTCAAAGATGCCTCTCCTGATTCCCCGAGCGCTCACTCCCACAGCACCCACTACCTCTCCACAGTGCTCACCGCAATCGTACTGACATAATAATGGTGTGTCGGAGGCCTGTGTGCACTGCTGGGATCTAAATTCTGTGTGGGCCAGTCACTTACACACAAACGCACTGAGCAACTTCCTCGACAACACTGCAGTGTTTGGGGGAAAGCGTACAGACCACAGATTAAAGCACGCATCTTACTGCCATGCCAAGCCGGCACTCTGCAGTGCACTAGGTCAACTACGAAGGCAGGAAGTCAGCCTATTACCCTGACACACCATCTGGATTCTTAGGATTTATTATGCTTTATGCGTGTCTGTGTGTGTCTGTGTGTGTGTGTGCCTGTGTGTGTGCACGCGTGCGTGCGCGGGCACGCACGTGTGCACATGTGAGTACAGGGGACCACAGAGTCCAGAAGAGAACCCCTGGAACTGAAGTTACGGGAGGGTGCAAGCCACCTACTGTGGGTGCTACGACCCTAACTTGGTTCCTCTGTAAGAGCAGTGTGTGCCCTTACAGGCTAAGCCACCTCTCCAGATCCACTATCTACAGCCACACCACACTAACCTATGCGGTCAGTTTCCTTACTTCCTGGCCATTACATTGCCTTGGGTTAAGCACAAAAAGGCTACACTACATCTAAATCAATTTTGTCCACTACCATTGTTAAACCAAAGATGGAAAGGCAGAAATACACCATGGAAAAAGCCACAGACCAGCTAACTTCAGGAAGAGGGCACAGTACTTTCCATGTTTTTTCCCAGGAAAATCATCCATTCGGAAAAATCCAAGCCATCATGAAACTCTAATGGCTGGCTCACTTAACTATTCCTTTTTGTCCACATGGCTATCAGTTTAACAATTTTCTGTTAAAACACACACACACACACACACCAAAAAAAGAAAAGAAAAAGAAAAAGAAAAACCAAGCAAACTAAACTAGTATTTTAGTTGGGGGCATAAGTTTTAAATATAAGGTTATTTAAAAATTGTATTACCCTGATAAGTTTAAAAATTAAGAGTATTTTCCACGTGAAATTGTGTTGAAACTTACATACATTGTTTAAAATATCTTTTGAACCTCTTTTATATAACTATTCTTTCTTCAATGAAAGGGTGTTTACAACCACTGATGCATAAGACGATTTTTCTCAGACCTTAAGAATGCAGAAAACTGCCCAAGATTTTACCGTAAAGAGCATAGTTCGGTTCTCCTCCATGTCTGTGGGTTGAACCACATTGTGTCCTCCAATGAGGTGGTTCTCGATGTCACTGTCAAAGGAGCTGAAGGTGCTGCTGCGGAGGCTGGCATCCTGGAACTCCTTCCTGAAGGCCAGTGAGCGCAGCCCGGGCTGCGAGAAGGATTTGCGCATAGGCCGCGCACCCGGCACTGAGGGCTTCGGCTGCCCCGTGGGTACGTCCTGGTCCCTGTGGCTGCAGCTCACGTGGTTGAACTTCTCAATGCACTCATCGATCAGCGCCGGTGGCGCCTTCTTGTGGGCGACAGTGACCCGGCCACAGAAGAGCACCTCGAACTTTTTGGCGAAGGTGTCGTCGAACTCTGAGGGGCAGCGCAGCTCTTCCTGGCGGGCGATCTTCCCGGCCTGCCGGATGGAACTGATGATCTCAGGCACCTGTGCGAAAGGGAGCAGGGTTAGTGACCCCTGCGGCAGTGGGTTGTCCTGTGGGGCACGCTAGACCGATACCAAGGTCACAATGACATAAATGGCAGCTTCCAGAGCACCCTGGCTGCCACAGGGGCTGGGCTATACGTGGCTCACAGGCCACAGCACCCTCCAGTGTTAAGTGGCGAGCCTCCGGGCAGGCTTTGCACTCTTATCCCTAAGGTTCCAGGTCATCTCCACTGAGCTTTCCCTCAGATGTGACTCACCTAAACACAGCTCTTTCAGAAGAGCTCAGGGCAGTGCCCTTTGAAAAGCTTTCCTCGGAACAAAGGGCTCTAAAATCATCTCACATTTATCAAAATGGTGGCATCATTGTATTCTTCAAATGGCAACTAACAAGTAACGATGTGATGCTGCATTTCCTAATGCACTGAGACTATTTTCACAGGAGTCACATGAATCTGAATTGTCCCAATTATTTATTAACTGTACTTCCAAACAGAGAGTGTAGTTTCTTCCATCCTTCGAGGTCTGCTAAAAGATCCACTGTTTCTACATGCTCCATCTCTAATCCCACAAGTGAGCCATCATGTCTTCCATCACATTTCAAAGAGGGGGAAAATGTATGAAGCCATTTGAACTTAAAGCACTTCCGCTGTAACACAACAGCTACAGACCCAAGGTCTCAAGTGTCCCTTGACTCCTGGAGTCAGAAGCAGCTGAAGAACACATCTCACCCTGGTCAGAGTTCATTCAAAGACCAAGTCCTATCTCTGCTTGCTCTGATGGGCTCCTGGCCCCCTGCACCATGAAGACACATACAAAATAGTGCAAGGCAGATTCTGGGAGATAAGACAGCAGCTCCTGCATGACAAGGGGTGAGGTGAAGCTCTGGGGGAAAGATAATGGGAGGGAACACAGGGGCCCTGGAAGGGCATTGACTCAGGACTGAAGAGACTAGAGAAGGACCAACCACAGAGAGGCCGGTCAGAGGCCGTGAAGGGCGAGGCAAAGATGTCCTAAAGACAGGGAAAGCGGGCACAGGAGAGTTGGTGGACAGGAGCTTGAAGCCCAGAGACACAAAAAAGAAGGAAGATGTCAGTATTAACCCCCACAATAAACACAACTGAAAAACAGCCTATATGGTCTATAGGAATATATATATCAGGTTCCAATGATTCCTGCCTCCCCCCCCCCACAACAAAATAAACCAACCAACCATGACCTTCTTGGGGCAAATACACTGGGGTCACTGGAGACTTACTCCCTCTGATACGATCTGGTCCTTTTACTGAAAATCTTGCTGAATTCAGTCCTAGCACTAAGAACTGCGTCATTCCTGTTTGCAGATAAGCCGATAAAGCAAATCCAAACTAACCAAACCAGAGGGGGGGGGGGATGTGAAACCTGCTTCACTGAAATAAATTTAATGAGGGTATGGGTTTGGCTGGAGTGTCTGATACTATGGGAACCACAACAAAAAAATGTTAGATAATTAAGATGAATTACCCAAAGTTAATGAAGCGGGCCTGTTTAGGTACACAGAACTCACACACTAACAAAGGCATGGTAAAGGGCAGTTTCTGGTGCAGGTTCAAGTCAGTACTGTTTCATAGAGACAGGGAAATGATTCTCTAAGAATCGGAGATACCTCTGCAAATCAAGTCCTTATTCAAGCGCATGGGTCAGCTTTTTAAGGATTTAGGGATTTTAGTGGATTATAAACACACTTGTAACTGTAATTTTATTCACAAGGATTTAGGAGGGCATTTGAGAAATAACCTTTAGGGGAAAAAAATGTCACTTTTATTTTGCATTTACAGGTTTGTCTGACAATTATTAACATACAAATATTAAATTACTCTTTTAGAGTCTTGGCCTCCTCCTCCTGTGAGCCTAGGGTGACCTGTGACAATGGTTCTTTACTCTCTTGACCCCAAACCCTACAAAGCCATGCAATCAAAAGGTTCAAATCTTTTTGTGCACTTTAGGAACACCTGTGAAACAGCCCGGGCCATCAGGGGTGTGCATAGCCTAAATGCCACCAAATATCTGAAAGATATCACTTTAAAGAAGCGATGTATACCTTCCAATGGTATCATGTTGGAGCTGGCAGGTGTGGTCAGGCCAAACAGTGGAGCTGGATGCATGGTAGGTAACCAAAAAGGAGTGCAGAATTCTTGCTGCACATGCTTAACAATGCAGAGAGTATGATGAACTTAAGATTTAGGTGTGGGTTGTCAGGTCATTGAACACATCCAGGTGAACAAAAGCCCCTAAGATGTGTCCATAAATTTACAGAGCTCACGACTGGATTAACCCCCACATGAGCTCCCCCTGCCACATCGAGAAGATACTCCAAACTGTTCCAAAGCCAGAAGAAGAGGGTGCACACAAGAAAAAGATCCCAGAAAAAAAAACTGAAGAAACAAAAACTTATAGCACAGGAATAAATTCAGCATTAAATAGATGCAAATAAACGTCAAAAAAAAAAAAAAAAAAAAAAAAAAAAACCAGTCTAGCATCTCTATTTAAAACTATAACAACTTTCCCTATTATATAACAGAAACTATTTTGAAGCTGCAAAAAGATGGCAGGAATACTCATTGCTATGTCCCTCAGAGGGGATGCTTTCGTATTGTAAGGAGTTAAATAGAAACACAGCCAATTTCATATTGACTGTTTTCCAGGAGGACCAGATGCGCTTGTTGTAGATAATGAGAACTAATACTTGCTTGTTGATCATGAGGAAGGAACTACTTTAAAATCAAGCTTTTCTTCATCATCCCTTCTCTGCCTTTGATTTCACACAAAACTCTTGTTGGTGCCTTGTTAGTTTTCCCACAGTATTTAGAGAGAAAACACAACGGTCACTTTCTACATAGCATACACGGCCATTCATGTTTGGCCAGGATGAAATGAGACTTGAGCAAAGGGACAAAAGCAGCCACACTACATGGTGGACTCCAACCGCTCTCCACGAAGATGAGCCAACTGTCAGCAACTGCACAGACAGAACGAGCACAGGACAGTGACTGGGCAAGGTGGGCACACAGGAACACAGGAGGACAGAGAAAGCAGTCTAGCCATTTAAAAAGAAACTGAAGTAGAGACTGGACAACTTCTGTGTTTCCCACACTTGGCCCATCTTAAAATAAAATCAGCCACCAACGTGCCCGAGTCAAATTCAACTTAATTCTTACTGTGCAAGAAAGGATAAAATTGTAGGTCATATTTAAAATGCAATATTCAAAAACAGAGCCTGAGAGAATTCCTGTTTGAATTGTTTGCCCATTCTCCCCATACCCACCTAGCTGCCATGTAAAGCAAGGGAGAAAATGACCACACAGTACCAGTGGACAAAACTGGACGGGGAACACAGGTCCTTTGCAAAGCATCTAACACTGCCTCACACCTGGACCAAAATGCCCCTCGGAAACATCTGATCCCTTTCCTTGAATGGGTTTGTTCATGTCTGAGTTCAGGGGTGTCTGTCCTGACGACAGTGGCAGGGCAAGGGCTGACATCATGAGGCCACATGTGCTCTCATTCTGGGATGTCAAATACACCTTTTCCTTACCTATAAGCAGAATTCACCCAGCCAAAAACACAGCAGAAGGATTTTTCTGAGTTTTTGGCCAGATCTCCATAAAAGATAAGGCCTTCCTGCCAAAGGGGACCTGAAGAAAAGAGGAAAGTTCTGCAAGCACGCACAGGACCCATGTGACAGACAACAAGAAACATGGGTAACCTCATGAAGGCCATGCTTCTCTCTCAAAATCTCAACAACTCAACACAGGCTGGGAATGGGCATCAAACACTGCTGAGCCTCAGACACTGAATCAAATGTAACTTTCATTCTGAGCAGAACTGCAGTGCCCACCTTCATAAATAACTACAGAGAGTCAGGGCCAGAGCCTCTGATCTCAGCAGCCACCACACAGAGGCAAAGAGCTCATCAGACCAAGGCATCCACTAGGGACTGGAGGCTTTCATCTTCATTTCTTCCTTTGCTATCACATTTACGGAGTATAATTCCAAAAGCATGTTAGTGCCTGTAGAACACGCCCTTCCCAAGAGGCAAGGGTTAAGGCCTTACCTGGATGGCTTGCTTGGCCTAAAAGGGCCAATCTCAAGAACCAAGGAAGAAACAAACACAGCTATTGTCATTTCTTCAGTAATCTATCTTCCTTTTTTTTAATTATTTTTTTATTTTAAATAAGGTTGTTCTGAGACAGGATTTTTTCTTTTTCAAGACAGGATTTCTTTGTGTATCTGTGGCTGCTTTGTAGACCACCAGGCTGCCTCGGCCTCCCAAGTGCTGGGATTAAAGGCGTGGGTCCACCACCCGGCAATCCATCCTCCTCTTTAAACACAGGAGCAGAACCATTCTTCAGTCACTTTGATACATATTGAATATATTCACAGACACATATTTAATACATATTCATATAAAAGACAAGTCCAGAAACATTACATCACCCACAAACTCAGCCCAGAAACATATACAGCTACAGGGGTTTTTCCCTCCATGTGACTGATTGTGTATATCTCATTTCTCTCTCTCTCTCTCTCTCTCTCTCTCTTTCTCTCACACACACACACAATGTTCTGCAACTATTATCACTCCTCTCGTTCCTTTAGAAAACTATGACATTACTCTTAGTTACTGTATGATATTATAGTTTGGATCTTAAGTGTCCCCCCCCCCAACACTAACACATTATTAAAAGCTTGGTCCCCAACTGACAGCATCATTTGGTGGGAGGGGGAGGGCCTGAGAGGCAGAAGCAGGCCATAATAGGGTATGGCCTTGAAAGGGATGCAGGGCTCCTGCCATCCCAGTCTCCATCTTTACTTCCGCACCGTCAGGAGGGAGCAGCTTTCCTGTGCCACGTCCTTCTGCCTCAGGTATGAAGCAACAGGGCTAAGCACCTGTAGTAAGCACCAAAGCCATTTTTGTATCCAACATTTTGGGGTAGGAAATGTTTTAGTGTACTGTTCGGGAA